GGGCCCGCGCGTGTCGGGGCGGAGCTGGGAGGTATTTAGTGACTGGAGCCCTGAATTAAGTCAAGATTTATCCTCAGACCCGGGAATTCCTTGGAAATCACCAATTAAAGCTCATTTTCAGTGTTACTGGTCTTCCGGTATGGGGCTCGCATCTCATTTCTTTTATTGTTTTCTCTTCCTCAAACATGTTTTGGAAGATATGCTGCTAATTATACCTACTATCACACCATTGCTAATGGCTTTGTGTAAATTTTTTTAAATGTAATGACAAATCATAACGCTCTCTCCCTGACGTAATTGTTTCTCATCCCTAATTTATGGATAAGGAAACGTTCTCAGGTAAAATAACTTGCTCGAAGTCACACAGGGTGAACGTGCCCAAAGTCTGACTCTTCAAAGCCCGTGCCCTTAAGCACTGAGCCAGGCTGCCTCCCCAGGTTAGCCAGACAATTAGTAATGTAGCTGAAGCCAAAGTACAAACAATGAATAGCAGGAGAAAACATCACACCTAACGGTTTTTAGTTAACCTGTATGGAGTTATCAGGAGTGAGTGGATATGTAGGGGTTGTTAGGCTTTTAAAAAATGCTTAAAATAGTTCAGAAACCTGTTTCTACTCTGCTAAAATCTGTATTAGGGTTCTCCAGAGAAATAGAACCAATAGGATGTATTTATAGCAAAAGAGATTTTAAGGAATTGGTTCTGCAATTCAGGAGGCTGACAAGTGGAAAATTTTGGGGGTAGGCAGACTGGAGACCCAGGGAACAGCCACTGTTGCAATACAAACATGAAGGTCATCTGCTGGCAGAATTCCCTCCTCTTCCAGGGAGGTCAGTCTTCTGTCTGAGGTTTGGAGCTACAGACTGAATCAGTACAGCACCTGCTATTTACTGTTGAGAACTGAGGGGCTGGAAGATGGACTGACTTGCCCAAGGACACAGCCGGTTAAGAACCAAGCAGTGTCTCCCCTCTTTCCTGGTTTCCAGCCCAGTTCTTGTTACTCAACACTAGAGTGTCTCATGTTGAGCTCTGGCCAGTTTGGGATGACAGGTGACATCTGGCCTAGTCCCCAGCCGCTGTTCTTGTCTTTTGCTGCGGCTTAACTGGCAGAAGCCAAGGGTGGGAAACTTGATAATCCTGCTTAGAATTATGGAGCCCTTTTTTTCCCCACTGAGTTTGATCCTTCTGAACTTAGCATCTACACATCCTTTCTCATTCTCTTGTGTCTTAAAATTTTTAATTAGTTAACCATTAGTTTTAAAATTCAGGTGCTTGATTTCTTTTGAAAATAAGTCACCAGATCTGGCATCTCTAATGCTAAAATTCCATATGGTGTCAGAGTAGAATAGTGGCTGCTCCTTTTA